CTTGCCTGCCGCGGCCTGGAGGCTTGGGAGGGCTGCTGGGACCGGGGTAGCCGGGCCTCCCCGAGTCGGGCCAGGGGGGGCTATGGTGCTCCGCCCTCTGCGCCCCCGCCACCGCCGCCATCTCAGGGAGGCTCCCAGCTGGGCCACTGCATTTCGGAGAACGAAGGCGGGGCCCATGGCTATGTCAACACCTTGGCTGTGGCCTCCCAGAATTGAGGGGTGCAGGCAGGGGGGCTCGGTTTGGGGTTAGCAGTCTCCAGTCCCTTGTCTTCTGACGTTCTCAGATTGATGGGACTTTCTGGAAGGCGGAGCTGCTGGTAGGGCAAAGGGTCACGTGTCCATCTACACCCCAGGGGAAGACTGCTGGGTGGGAGCGCCCTGTCCGGTCTGCTTGTAGTCCCCTTCTCCAGAGCCTCCCTTGAGGCTGACCTCCAAGGGGCTGACCCTGCGCTGGCCTTCCCTGCCCCACCCTAATCCCATTCACTGTGGGGTAGAATGGTGGAAAGAGGGTGCTCAGGCAGGGGAGTGCTGGGCCTTGGGCCTTCCCCTATACTTGCAAGTGCCACCCTCTCTCAGGCTGCGATTAGTGGCCATTGACCCGCGCCTTGAACTTGACCCGGAATCCACTCTTCCCTTGATGTATCTCTGCAATTCCTTCCAGGTGGTAGCTGCAACATGTGTCTCTATGTGTGTGTAGCGTGTTTTCTTGTGTCCACCCTGTGCCCCTTGCGATTGGCAGGAGATCTGGGGAGGCCCTGCCTTGCCCTCACACATACTGTCCTCTCCTCTTTCCTGCCTGCATTTGTGACCAAGAATTCCCAGGAAGAGCTGGGCTCCTGGGAGCGGCCCCGGTAGCTCTCCTCCAAGGGAGCAGCTCAGCCAGGACCTCCCTCAGCCCTGCTCCTCTCTTCCCAGCTCAGGGGGAGGTCATACTCTAAGGACCAAACGGCACCCTTTTTGGGGTGAGTGAGCATTTTCTACCTCTGTGCTTTCGGTTTTTGTTGCATCATCCACTGATGCTGCTTGCAAAAAATAAAGACAAAAATACTCAGAAGTTGCATTCAACATGGCCGCCAGACCCAGCCGGGTTTGGGGCCAGTGTTCTTACAGGGTCTGCGGAGTATCAGCCATTGGCTTGCCCTCTTTCTGTTCCTCCCTCTGCATCCAAAACTTTTACCCTTCTTGTGGCTCGGTGCCACCTGGATTAGATCTTGGCTCGGAGCACCACCTTTGGCGGGTCCCTGGGTGGATGTGACGTTGGGCCACACTCAGGCCCAGTTCCCCACTGCCCCTTCCTCGGGGAGGCTTGGGGGAGATCAGAAGGAGATGACCTTTCTTCTGCTCTGTTAAGGGCCTCGCTGGGGACAGGAAGGCGCAGGACGCTGCTGCCCCCCGCCTCTCCCCAGTGTCTCTCTGTCGAGGGTGATAACGAGACACAAGGCCTGCCACTTACACGCCTGGAATCTTCGAGGCAGGCAGGTATTTTTAGGGGAGGTGAGGGTGCAGGAGGACAGCTGGGGGCAAGACCAGGAAATACTCACTTTCCTCCCCCCTCACAGGAAGGGGTAGGAGGCAAACCGTTAAAGATTTTCGTTTCCCTTCTCCTTTCTTAGGCTTACGTGTGGTGTGCTGTAATGAGCCCTGGGCAAGGGGCCCGGACATGGACTCGTGTGCTCACTCTGTCATAGCTCGGAGTGACACGCGGTTATCACTTTCTGGGCCTTGGTTTGCTCACGTTAAAAATCAGAGTTGGATTCATGTTCTTTAAGCTACCTTTCAACTCTAGCACCCCTTGGGTTTATGGCTGCAGACGTTCCTTGTCAAGGTGGGCAGGAGAGGAGCCAGCAGGGCGTCCTTGCAGACACACCTCTGCTTCCGGCCTGGGTGTGCCTGACACTCGGATTGGAGAGCAGAGGGACGGCTCTGGGCCCCGGGCCTGGGGCAGGACTGTGATGTCTGCTCCAGCTGCACTGACTCTGGCCTCCTGGAACCCGCTGCAGGGCGGGGCCTAAAGTGCCAGGTCACTGACCATTAAACTCATTCAGTGCCCGGGCCAAGCAGCGCCCCCGCCCCACTGCTGGGCTGTCTGAGAACAGGGCGCTTTCTCTCCCACTGCTTGGGGGCTTGTGAACAGATGCCTGCGGAGGCAGAGACAAGGAGGGGTTAGTGGCTTGCCAGAGTTCTCTCAAGCCTGCTCCGAGTGCGAGGAACCTGGGAGCCTGTTTACACTCAGCGCCCTGTTCCCAGCCCCTGCACTCGGTCCAGTACCACTGGCCGAATTTCGCCGTAAGTCAGCTTTTTCTGCCGTCTCCTGCTCCCTACGACTCCTCTTCTTTCCTTTTGATTGTATCAAGGTTTGGGGTCTAGGCCACGGGTGGGTGCCGAGCGCTGTTCCCTCCGTTCCCAAGCCTCTCCAGCTTTGCTGTTTCTCTGCTACCTAATCTCAGTGACTGTGACAGGACAGCATCTGAGCCCTGGCTGTGGCGGCCAGCCCTACCCACCTGTCTGTACTGTTAGAAGGCCACCTCCCGACGGCGTCCTGTAAGATCTGCAGCTCTGTTGGGCTTTGGTGGGAGGCCGTGATAAGTCCCAGTGAGCTGCCACTTCCCTGGGTTGTCCAGAGACAGGTGGCAGCTGGGCTGACCTGGTGGAGCCAGCCTGGCAGGCCCTGTGTGAGCCCTACTCACCTGGACACCCTCTTACCCGGCAAGCGCCTTGTGTGTGGGCAGTGCACCTCTCTGGTGTGTTTCCCTTGGGTCCTTTCGCTCACTTCCCCAGCTCCATTCACCACAAGGAATGGCCCCTAACATGTCCTTTGCCTTGCAGCCTGGGCACTGCTGTCTGGGCACTTGCAGTGCAGGGTCAGACCTGAGAGGCCCCGGGGGCAGGGTGAAGCCGTGGTGTGGCTCGCAGGGAGCCAGACTCAGGAGCAAGACCTGAGTGCCCCTAGTCATTGGGCCCCCCAGTCCTCGTTTTAATGAGCCCAGACCCTCCCCAGACCGTTCTGTTCTCACACCCCTGGCTCTGAGTCGGGGGTGGTGTGGAGAGAGCGAGCTGGCAGCCAGAGCCAGGAAGAAGGGAAGTGGCACCTCACTAGCATTTCTCACGTTTTTTTCTTTTTTTCCTCCTTCTCTTTTTAAAAATAAAGCCAGACTCCGTTCTGAAAATAAAAAACTTGACACTTGTGACAGGCATCTTGTGTGGTTTGTTTTAAGATCTTTCCCGTCCTGGTTTCCTTACTAAAGTCTTAAATGCCACAGTGACATTTGTCATTGTTTTACACCTGGGCTGCTTCCTTCTAGGCTGTGGGCATGGTGTTCAGGAGGATGGGGAGCCCAGGGCCTGCGGCTGGGGGGGGGCC